CCGGCCCGGCCCCGACCCCGGCCCGGCCCGGCCCGGCGGGAGGCGACCGGGGGCGATCAGGATGCCCCAGGAGCGCGGGTGAGTGGGGAGGGGGGAGGGATCGGGCAGGGCGTCACCCCTGGACAGCGGCTCCGGTACAGCCCCATCCCCCGGTACTCCTCCGGTACAACGCCGGTACAACCCCATCCCCCGGCAGAACATCCCCCGGTACAGCCCCGGTACATTCCCGGTAATGCCCCTCCTCCGGGGCAGCCCCATCCCTTCGGTATTCCCGGTACAGACTCATCCCGCTCCAGCATTCCCGCTCCAGCATTCCCGGTCCATCGTTCCCGTTCCATCGTTCCCGGTCCAGCCCCACCCCATGGACACCATCCCCGGTCCAGCCCCCCCGCCGGTGCCGACCCCTCCCTTGGCCGGTTCCCCCCGCTCCCCCCGGGGCTCCCCGAGCAGCGGCGGCGGGCGGGTTTAACCCCTTCCCCGCTGCTCTGTCCCCGCGGGACACGGGAGGGGCTGGGCCCGCCCCCCTGAGCGCCCCTCTGTCCCCAGCTCTGTCCCACCATGTCGGTCTCCAAGCTGCAGGACACGGATGAGGTTTTCGGTGAGTTCCTGGGGGGTCTGGGGGGCAGAACCCCCCGTGGGGTGCAGAGCCACCTGTGGGGTGCAGAGCCACCCGTGGGGTGCAGAACCCCCCGTGGGGCAGAGCCACCCGTGGGGCAGAGCCACCCGTGGGGTGCAAAGCCACCCGTGGGTCCCCGCCCGCCCCCAGTGTCCTCCTGTCCTGAGGGGGGCCCCCCGATCTGGGCTTGGGGACAGTGTGTGCCACTTGTGTGACAGGGTGTGGGGACAGAGGGATGTGCACGGGGAAGGGGACACGGGGACACGCGCGGGGGTGACAAAGACGAGGGGACCCGTGCAGGGCACACGGGGATGGGGGTGATGGGGACCCGGGGACACAGCAGGGGACGTGCCCAGAGCCACCCCTCGGCTGGGGCCGGGCACAGGGCTCAGAGCCAGGTGGGGATTTTGGGGGGGTCCCTCCTGGGTGACGGGGACAGCCTGTCCCCAGGGTCACCCCATTCTTGTGACCCCGTGCCGGGGCGTCTCTGAACACCTCTCTCTGTCCCCCTGTCCCCTGTCCCGCCCCACCGGGGTGACCCCTCCATGTCCCCAATGCTCCCCTCTCCTTGTGCCCCCTCCTGTCCTCCCGGGACCGCCCACCTGCCCTTTGACTCTCCTGCCCTGTCCCTCTGTCCCTCTGTCCCTCTGTCCCTCTGTCCCTCTGTCCCCTCTCCACTGGGCTGGCCTTCCCTGTCCGCCCACCTGCCTGCAACGCTTCCCTGCCCCCTGCTCATCCCTCCCTCCATCTCCCATCTGTCCGTCCGTCCCTCCATCCGTCTGTCCGTCCATCCCTCTGTCCATCCATCCGTCTGTCCGTCCATCCACCCACCCAATCTCCCTCCTCGTCCGTCCCTCTGTCCACCCCCACGTTCCCGCTCTCTCCCCGTCCATCCCCCCGCACGCCATCCCGGTGTCCGTCCGTGTGTCCGTCCGTCCGTCCGTCTGTCCGTGTGTCTGTGCCCCGGTCTCTCTCTCACTGCCAGATTTTACCGCTGTGGTTCCAGAGACGCCGCGCTTGGACAGCAGCCTGCACAAGGCCCGCGCCCGGCTCCTGGCCCGCGGCCGCCGCCAGCGGCCCTCGCGGTCCCGCCTGCGCGACAGCGCCAGCTCCACCGAGGGCGACGAGGGGCCCGAGGCCGCCGTGAGACCGCGGGACACCGGGGAGGGCGCCGGGGGGTGCCAGGGCTGGGGGTGTCACCGGGGACCCCGGGGACAGGCGTGGGGGGCACCGCGGACACCGAGGATGGAGTTGGGGGATGTCATGTTTGGGGGGCAGGGATGGGGGTCTGGGGGACGAGCCCGGGGGACTGTGGGGGTCTGACCCCCCTGCCCGTGCCCCCACAGGGCACTGAGGGCGAGGGCAGCCCCCCAACGCCCTCGCCCTTCTCCCGCACCGACGGCTTCTCCTTCGAGCCGGGGGTGGCGCGGCCGGGCCTGGGGGACGCCCCGGCCCCCACGCCCCCCCTCAGCCGCTACCGGCCCCTCACCAACACCCCGTCCCAGGAGGGGCTGTCGGGCCCCTCCGCGCCCCAGTCCTGCCCCAGCTCCGACAGCTCCCCCGGCTTCGCCCGCCGAGACCCCCGGCCCCGGCAGCACAGCGAAGGTGAGACCCCCGAGCCCCCCGGGGACCCCTGGGGGGGACAGTGGGTGACAGCCCGCTCCCACCCCTGCAGATGACAGCCGGGACATGAGCCCCCCCGAGCCCGCCAGCCCGACCGTGGGGCTCGATAAGAAAACACGGAGGAAGTTCTTGGATTTGGGGTGAGAGCCCGGCCTGGGCAGGGGCAGGAGGGGCGGGGAGGGGATGGAGCGGGACACAGGGGTGTGGGGATGGAAGGAGATGGATGAAGGGATGGATGAAGGGATGGAGAAGTACAATGTGAAGATGGAGGAATAGATGGAGAGATGGGGGGAAGGTGGAGGGAGGGAGGGAGGGAGGGAGGGGGTCCTGGTGCCCCAGCCCTCAGTCACCACCCTGTCCCCAGGGTGACCCTGCGCCGGGCGTCCTCTGGGAGGAGCCGCAAGGAGAAGAGCAGCAAACGCCTGTCCATGGGCAGCAGGTGAGGGAGTCCCCCCGGGACAGCCTGGGGACAGCCTGGGGACAGCCTGGGGACAGCCCCCACCCCCTGACACTGCTCTGTCCCTAGGGAGGCGGCGGAGGGGCCCGGCCGCCCCTCGGGATCCCCGTTCCTGCCCTTCTCGTGGTTCTCGGACAGCGCCAGGGGCTCCGGCTCCCCGGGCTCCGCGTCCCCCGCGGGGTCCCCCCGGCACGAGCGGCTCAGCCCCGCCAAATCGGCCTCCCAGGTGAGCGCCCGGCAGCGGGGACGGGCCTGGGGCCTGCAGGGAGGCTCTGAGAGAGGAGGTGACACCAGCCCTGGGGACAGGGGACAAAGCCCCGTAGGGTCCGGGTGGCTTTGCGGGGGTCGAGTCAGGACAGGTATCGGGGGTGTCCGAAGCCCTGTAGGATCGGGGCGG